TAGGCTATGTGAAATTCAATGGAAACCTCAGCTCAACTCATATCATTGTGGGAAAATTCTACTACCAGTCCTTCATTACCTTAGACGAAATAAGGTGAATACATCTCATTTCAATTGATAGTCCCGACTACCATGTCGGCGAAGCTTCCAGGAGTGTACCAATTTCCTATAGAGGTCGCCTTGTCAAGAAACAAAGACATTTCACGATCTCGGTAAAAGCATTTCTGAATTGATATGCCCCGATAATAATAGGCCTCTTGATGATGCTGAAAGGAAAATGTTTACTAACTACATTGGCAAATTAAGTAAATCTGGTAGGAGTTTCATAATGTATCGTAGAAAGGTTCGGTCCCAGGATCTTGATCTTCAGTTTACTCCGCTAGAGAGGGTCAGTTTCAGCTCAAAGAAAAAAAGTTAGGTCGATGAAAAAGAATTCTACTGATGAATAGACGGGATTAGAAGAAGTGCAATTAAACTAATTTTTTTCGCCTAATATAGTGTGATGTAGTCGATTGTCATGTCAAATATAACCCTGCTTCATCAATACTCTCACCAAAGAATGTGATATGGATAAATTTCTGGCCTTCTTTGGAATTTGCATATGCACTGTGAGCCAAGGGCACTCGTGGCAATGTGACGTAGTGGTTAAGGTGCAGAGTATATACGCTGCATTTTCATGGTTCGAGTCCCGCTGAGGCTGTTGATAACACAAGACCTAGGTGAGATCTAAGCTGCGGTCCACTCAAGCCAGGATGAGAACATATTTTGGGAAAGCAAGGGTATGCAAAATTCAATGGAAAGGTCAGCTCTAATCATATCAATGTGGAAAAATTCAACAACCAGCCCTTCATCATCTTAAACGAAAAAGGGTGAATATATATCATATTAACTATATTAAATTCGTTCACTCAATGGCCCCACGGACGTGGTTTTAGGCCATTTTCTCAATTTACTTATATACCTTTGCAATTAGCTACTCCCCTGCCAAGTTTGCTTGCATTCGAGTCCAACTTCGTTCAGGCCTTCTATATCTCACTCGAAAGATAATTCGTTTCAGACTCTTAGTCAAGTATCCCTTATCATATAACATAATCCGGAGTTTACTTTACTCCGGCAACTTCGAGCTCTTTATTATAGGAAAAACTATCTTTTGTTCCATGGAATAATACTCAAGGTTCATTCATCATTCGGGTTGGAAATAGTTTTGCACCTTTTGGCCTTTTATTTAATCCATATCTGTTAGCGATTATTACCTGAGTTATTGAATAGAAGAAACAGAAATAACTCGGAGGTATGATAAATTGAAAAACAATTAATATTAAGTTTGCTTGCTTTATTGAATTTTCTTTATTTACAAGGCGACTTAAGAAAAAGAAATCCTTGCCATTTAATAAATTATTCCGAAGAGGACTACTAAGTTGCCCTTATATACGTTATTGGGAAGCATAGTAAGCAGAATATATGAAAAGAGCCATGGCTAACATAGCCTCACTTAAACAACCTACATTCTGGCGTACAACGTCGCTATCTACATTTGTGATGTTGACATAATTTTCGATAATGTGACTGAAAGGCTGGCATCTAGTAATTGCCTTCTGCCGGAGCATCTGAAACACATAAGTATTTATTTTCGGAAACGGTCTCTGCAAAGAGGGCCTATATGAAATTGTATATGGCGAAGAGAGAAGGATAAGCTAGTAGAATAGTCCTCATTTTAGTTTTGAGACCACATAACTAAATGCAAGTATCTAGCAATGAGATAAATTCATTCTATTTCGTTATTCGCAATAATATGAGCAGGCCTCACGTTTTCAGTGACTTCCAATAGGTCTACTCACCTCATTGTGGAAAAATTCAACTACCAGCTTTAAATCACTTTAAGCGAGATAGGGTGAATATATCTATACTACTTAGTATCTACTGAGTATCTCTATCTACTGGTAGTCTTGAAAACCGACTGATAAAATAAAAATAATTATTTAGGCATCTCTACTTATGTGCGCCTTAACTGTTTCTTTTATTCATAAATTCCTCTCTGTCTGATAGGCTTTCCAAGAAGATTCCGGCGGATACACATGCGAAGCCGAGAATTTTGCAGGCAAGGCGGAAAGCTCAGCAATGTTGACTGTTCGTGCGAAACTGATTGCGCCATACTTCGAAAGAGGTCTTTCCAATACAGTTGTGCGTGAGGGTCAATCAATTCATTTGATCGTGAAAGTGAATGGTCATCCATCTCCAGCTGTTTATTGGTAAGAAAGCCATGTGAATCCCATATTTCCAGGTTTATCAAACAAGTATTAAAGCGAGTTTTCTCGACCTACTCTTCTAGAATCCTATTTTATCTCATATCTTTGCGATAAAAATGCCTGAAAATCTAGCTATACATATTTAT